GGGGCAGCGCGCTGCCCTGGAACGCAGGCTACGCCGAGTGAGTGCCCTCCCCGCCGCGCGGCCCCGCCGCCGGTCCCGGCCCGCCCAGCCGAGCCCGAAAACACTAAGCGGAGCGAGTGACACCCCCGCCCCGCCCGTAGGCGATCCCTTCTGATCCTCGCAAGACCCGACCCCCCCACTCCCCCAACCTCACCCAGACCCTTTGAGTCGCCAACTTTGGAGGACGCTGGAGGTGGAGAAAGACCTGCGCTCCAAGGGTTTCCAAGATGAGGCCGAGAGACTGAGATGAGTCCAGTGCTCTGGACTTGGAAGATACACCACACACACTCACACACCACCTGGGCTATGGCCTATGCTCTATGGATCAGGGGTTCCCTTGGAGGTGAAGGGCGCCCCAGACCTTTCCAGGCAGCCCAGCCTACCCCTCAGCCCTGAGTCAGCACTAGCCCTTTGTGGTAGTCGCCCAGGTGCCTCACGGATAGCACCTGGGAGCTGTTGCCTGCAGGGACATAGGCGTGTCCCTCAATAGTCACTGACCACTTCTTGGCCTCAGGATCATCAATGCAGAAAAGTCTGAATTCAATGAGGATCAGGCTGCCTGCGGGAAGCTGTGCATCCGGAGATACGAGTTTGGAGCTGAAGAGGACCAAGAGTGGCTGACCCTGTGCGCAGAGGAGGTGAGTCCGTCTTCTGACAGGCGGAGCCAGTGACGCCTAGTCTGAGGTTTTTTTGCCCTGCTGCCCAGTGTCCTAGTCCAGGCTGTGCCTGGGGACAGCTGGGGAAGCCAGGCAGAGCCTGACACAGACCCTTCCGCTGTAGTTCCTGACAGGTCATTACTGGGCCCTGTTTGATGGGCATGGCGGTCCTGCAGCGGCCATCCTGGCTGCCAACACCTTGCACTCCTGCCTGCGCCGGCAGCTGGAGGCCGTGGTAGAAGGCATAGTAGCCACGCAGCCCCCCATGCACCTCAGTGGCCACTGTGTCTGCCTCAGTGACCCCCAGTTTGTGGAGGAAAAGGGCATCAAAACAGAAGACTTGGTCATTGGGGCTCTGGAGAGCGCTTTTCAGGAATGTGTGAGTGTGGCCTTGGGGAAGAAGGGAGGTTTTGGCCTCAGGGACCTGAGGCAATGTAGTCCTTGGGCTGGGAAGGCAGCTTGGGTTTGTTTGCTACTAACTGCCAGCACTGCTAATCCCTCCCACATATCCAGTGCCTGTTATGTTCTAAGTGCTGTTACCTGCATCTCTTACTGCACACACTTGCTTTTTAGTGCGGGAGCAATTTCCTTTCCTGTTTCAAGTTGCACTTCCCTTATCTAGGTCTCCTGCTCAGAAGTTTGGGAGTTATGACTGGACTTTGGGCTGGGACTGCAGGCCTGCTGGAGGTTGAGAACTGTGGGTGGAAGTCAGGGACAGTAGTATGTATGGTACAGGACTGGTAGCAGCTAAGGCTGCCTTGGTTTTTTCCAGGATGAGGTGATCGGGCGGGAGCTGGAGGCCTCATGCCAGGTGGGTGGCTGCACAGCGCTGGTGGCTGTGTCCTTGCAGGGAAAGCTGTACGTGGCCAATGCTGGGGATAGCAGGTAAGTGAGCTTTTGTGGGTGGGCAGGAGAGCACCAGAAACAGTGGGAACAATGAAAGGTGTCTGGAAGTGGAGGTTTAGAAATGGGGAGGATTGGCTGCACGTTTGTACAGTGTTTGTACTTGGCATATGTTGAATGTGAGGACAGAGAGTAGATGCAGGGAGGGCAGGGACCTCAAGTGCCAGACCAAAGGCCTGAACTTTCACCCTGCAGGTCCTAAGGAATCATGGAGGGCTTTGAGTGAGAGATCAGCGTGGCCAGAACTGGCTTCATTAGCTGGAGGGGCTCACAGGAGGGTGGCCACGGGCGAGGGAGGAGGTAGCCTCATGTCTTCCTCTACTGCTCAACCCCAACCAGAGCTCTTTTGGTACGGAGAGATGAGATAAAGCCACTGAGCTCTGAGTTCACCCCAGAGACTGAGCGGCAGCGGATCCAGCAGCTGGTAGGTGGTACCTTGTTGTGGGGAGGCTATGGTGCCCCCAACTCCTGGGTCCAGGGCCATAAGTAGCCATAGAAGGGAACCTGACCTGAGCACAGCCTCCCCACCCCAGGCCTTTGTCTACCCAGAGCTTCTGGCCGGTGAGTTCACCCGACTAGAGTTCCCTCGCCGATTGAAGGGGGATGACTTGGGTCAGAAGGTTTTGTTCAGGGATCACCACATGAATGGCTGGTGAGTAGGGTAGGGTGGGGGAACATTGTGGGAAGGGAGAAGCTCGGGGCAGTCCCCTTCTATCTGGGCAGAGTGGGCACTGTGAGGTGTGACAGACGAGGTGGGGTATAGTCCATGTGTGATGCTTGGTCTATTCCTGGCAGGAGCTACAAACGTGTGGAGAAAGCGGATCTCAAATACCCACTGATTCATGGACAGGGTAGGCAGGTCAGTGTCTGGCTCCCCTCCGAGAACCCTTCTTTAGTTGTTCCTTGGAGAGGGGGCTCTCTTGTCTCTTACGGGTGGCTGCAGCTAATGTCTTGTGGTTTACTCCCTCATGTTTCTCCCTCAGCCAGGGGCTTCTGAGGGTCATGGTCCATGAACCCTTATGTGGCCAGTAGTGCCAGGGCCGACCACTTGGGCATTTACTGGAGCTGCTCACCATCACCTCACTTTTCTTGGCCCCAGGCTCGGTTACTGGGAACATTGGCTGTCTCCCGGGGCCTAGGAGACCATCAGCTCAGAGTCCTGGACACCAATATCCAGCTCAAGCCCTTTTTGCTCTCTGTCCCACAGGTAAGGGCGCAGGGTAGTCTACCTCAGCTTCCATCTGCCCGGAAAGAGAGTAAGCCTGGTGGGAGCCAGGCAGGGAGTGCTAAAGGATCCTTGGGCTTAACTTGCAGGTGACTGTGCTGGATATGGACCAGCTAGAGCTGGGGGAAGATGATGTGGTTGTCATGGCAACAGATGGGCTCTGGGATGTCCTGTCAAACGAGCAGGTGGCACTGCTGGTGCGGAGCTTCCTCCCCAGGAACCGAGATGACCCACACAGGTACTGTAGCTGCCGGGGACTTGCGTAGGCCTGCACTGGTGCCAGCAGCAACGCCAAGTAGTTATAACTGAGAAGACAGCACTGATATTGAGTCCAACTCAGGCAGGTAGCCAGGGTCAAAGCTCATGGGGGAGGGGAGAGTGTAATATGGGTCCTTGGGTTTGGATTCTTATGGTCCAGTTGAGGCCTTACCAGGCTTGTTTGCTTGGCTAACAGTTGGGCTCTCTTTAGGTCTCCCTGTCCAGTTCTATGCTATGCTCTTGGAGGGCTGACCTTGCTGTTTTTGCTCAGCCCCAAACTACATCTACAGGATAATCTTCACAGGTTCTCGGAGTTGGCCAAAACGCTGATACGAAGTACACAGGGGAAGGAGGACGGTCCCGCAGGGGAAAGGCAGGTGTCCTACGATGATGTCTCTGTGTTCGTGATTCCTTTGCACAGCCAAGGCGAAGGAGGCAGTGGCCCCTGAGGATTCACACATTATAACCCAGAAATGCTCCAGGGCTGGTGCAATCTGGAGACTCCTTTGTGGCCAAGAGCAGGCCCTGCTGCCCCATACCTAGCCACAGCTCAGTGCTCTTCTTGCTTTCCATCCCTCACCCATTTCAAGGGGAACATTTATATCAGGCAGCCAGAGCTGAAAGGGTGTGGAGACCCTAGCCCACCAGGTCCTGCCTTTTACCTTAACATCCTTCTGCAGAAGCACTTCAGAACTTAGGAAACTCTTCTGAGGCTCCCCAGACAGGATCCTCAGTAACCTCAAGTATTCTCAGATAGGAACACCTGGGTTAAAGGTAGCCAAAGATGCCATGAGGAACAGGCTGTATATCTGGATCCAGAGTTCCAATCTACGAATGTCAGGGCATCCATTCAACAACCTCCAGTGCAGGGTTCCTTGTGAAATGACAAGTTGAAGACAGCTCCGGAGGGGATCAGCTCAGGCTTTGCCCTGCTGTCCTTTACCAGTGGATGGCACAGGCTCTGGAGCTAAAGATGGGACACAGCAAAAAGGTACAAGATGTCCCAGAGATGGCTAGGCGGGCAAGGACTCCTTACTGCCTAGCCTCTAGCTGCTTGCGTCAGCCCTGCCCTAGTCCATACACCAATAATGCCTTTGCTTTGTTGCTATCACCTTCCTGTTATTAAATGTTTATATGCAGAACAGCCCTTGTGAATCGTGAATTGCTTATACATGGATCATGGACACCTCAGGCTATTTGTTACCTTCCAGTGGATTACTTTTAACTCTACCTTTCAAGTTTGCATATAATCAGAACTACAGGTTTTTCCAGCACTGCATCCTCCCAGTTCTCAGCTTGAGCCCTCCCTTTGTGGCCAGGGAACTGAAGAGGTCTTCACTACTACCTGTGAGTTCCGCATTTGAGGTAATAGAATGGCTGCATTTTCACTTGCTTTTGAATACCAACTTGTGTAAAGCTAGTAGACTTGGAGGCAAGTTAGGACCCTAGACTGTTGTCATCTAAAACTTATGAAGCTCAGATAGTATTTGTTGAATTACAAGACAAGCCGTCTTCAGGACCTAGCTTTACCTGACTCACTCCTAGTTTTATGAGAGGTGACTTATCAGGCAACTCACAGCCAGAGACTGCAGCCAGAATGACCCAAGACAGGTGATGTAAAACCTGTGTTTTTGACTTACCTGAGAGACTCTGACCCCCTTTGCTACTCATTATCCAGGGAAGACAGGAAAAACTGCAATAGATATTTCCCATTTTCACAAAGCTGTATTTGAACCCAGGACTTGTAGACCAAGCAGTCTGTCCCCAGCTGGGCCCTGACAAACTGGCTGGTCTGTGAAGCTCCGGCAGCCTCTTCAGAACTCCTGCCTGCTGTCAGGAAAATGCTGGTGTGCACGCATACAAGCCTATAGGAGTATGACTTCCTCCCTTAGCACAGCCCTCCCCTTCCTCCCTGAGCAGTGTGGGCAACATCCTGTCCCTGCCTCTTACCCACATCAAATGCTGAGCTAGCTTGATCCTACAGCCTGCTGGCTTGCTTCTAATCCATCCTTGTGCTTGTTTCTGGTCTTGCTCCCTGAACAAGGCTAAAACCCAGGGAGTAGGTGCTGTAGGTCTCCCACTGGCAGGCAGGCCAAACAGTGGCAGGTGCAAGGGCAGCCGTATTGATGTACTTACTCATGTCCTCTATGAACAAAGGTTAAAGGCTGCAGTAGCCTTTGCTATGGAGTCTCTTCCTCCTTGGTACAGTAGTTGGCCATCAGGAGAGCCCATGGATGGCCAAACACATTTAAGCCAGGATATCCCCTCTACCACCTGTCAGTCCCTATGCAACCTCCAAAGTGGTGGAATTGGCTAATGTAGCAGGTCTAAGATTTTTTCCTTTAAAAAATATTTGTATTTATTTTTTCAGATGGGGGGGGGTATCTCACAATATAGCCCACATTGCCCTCAAACTTGTCCTGCCTCAGCCTCCCAAGTGCTGGGATTACAGGCATGTGTGACTCTATGTGGCTAGGCCCAAGGTCTTCATCTTCTTTGGTTCAGACCCAGGCAAAGAACCAAGGGGCGGGCTCTGCAGTTCTCATGTTGCTGAGCTAGATTTACTCCAGGATTCAGGAATTACCAGCCAGGTAATGGTTACAGCCAACTGGCTAGGCCTTCTGCCAGACCTGGTGCAGGAGCCTTGGAGGCTCCAGCAGTCCTTCCTCTCCAGCAGCCAGGACTCATTCCAACAGGAGGCTGCCAAACTGACCAAGGGTTGAGGTAAACAATAGGGGAAGTAGACTGAGATGTGTGCTAAAACAGTTTTTGAAGATCAAGACTGACACAAGCTTGCCTTTGCCCTCATTAATTTCTGGCCCTATGGATGTTTACTGGAGCCTGTGGTTGAGTGATGGGTCTGGGGCCCATAGGCCCTAGTTAGGAAGGGGCCCAACAATCCATTCACACAGGGTTACAGGGGTCAAGTGGGCTGTTCCCTCCCTTCTGTGAACCAGGCAAACAGTCCTACAGAAACTCAAAGGAAGAGGCTGAAGCCAAAAAACTGTTTTAAGACTGGTAACATGGAAAAAATGTTTATATGTTAAGTACAAAAGGGACATAAAATCGTATGTACAGTAGAATAACAACTATGTAAACACACCAAAAAAATCTATGCACAGAAATATCTAGAGGAACATTTAACACCAAAAGATTTAACAGTGCTATGTAGCATTTGGGTAGCAAACTGATTGTATAAATTCCTAAAATTTTAAAAAGCAATAATTATGATTGCAACAGGGAATATTTAAAAGATACCCTACTGGCTGGTGGTTTAGCAGTGTAGTATCACTATCACAAAGTGGCTTTGGCCTTAAGTCTTCAGGTGATGAGCAGCCCCTCCCCACTTAGGAGAGCTTAAGCACCCGGCCACTAATACCTCCCTGCAGTACAGCTCTCAGCCTAAATTCTTCCTTCTCTCTTATCTCTACCACCCTAGTTCCCCAGGTCACTACAGCTGCATCTTTTCCCTTTTCTGAGCAACTCTGGAGCCAACTGTAGTGCCACAGGGCCCAGGAGCAGAGGCTGTGAGCTGCCATATTTTCAAAGGACATGGTACTTCAGACACAGGAACTCAAACACAAATTATTCCTGCTGCTGGGCAAGTTGTCATTACAGATTAGTAAGTTACATGGTCTTTCTTGTTAACCCATGAGTTCAAGCACTCTCTCTGAAGTTAGTCCTAACGTGAATTTTCTACCTTGAAAAGGTGGGCAGTTAACAGCTCCTATCATCTGGTTCCTAAAGTCGCTATACTCTGGGAAGGCAGAACTACATAGGGGTGGCATGGTGGCAGTTGCAGATTTTATCTGCTTTTGGGAAAGATGTATAGTCTTGCTCTTTCAGTTTAAGTAACAAGTTAAAAAGTAATTGCTTTAAATAAAATGGGCTAATCATTCATAGCTTCTGCTTGCTGCTTAACAGAAGCAGTGATGGTTTGATTTAGCTCTAGCAGCTGTAAACCCTTGGGAAAGTCATAACCTTGTTGGGCCAATTTCTGGATCTGCAGGGAGTATTGCCTACATAAATATCTGGTTGGGAGCTTAGTAAGATGCCACTTGCTCTGCTCCAAGATGGCCATGTAGGGGAAGAAAAGGCCATGGCCTGTCTGTAGTTCATTTCAACCTGGGCCTAGCTAAAGCCCCCTCCTCTCAATAGGAGGCAAGAAAAACCAAGAAAGCAGACATACCAGCTAAGTGGGAATGACCTACAATTGGCAAAGTTGCTTCAAACTAAAAATACTTTGGTTCCAGCATCCTGTTCCCAAATGCTGCAAGCCAGGCACAGAAGCCATGCAAAGACTGTCACATGTATGTAAGCGCAGAGCATCACCAGGCAAAAAAAGAGTTAACACTGTAGAGAGGGCTCCAAAGTACGGCTTTAAGAACACAGGAGAGTCATCCCAAGACCCTCACTTAGCTGCCATGGAAACAGCAAGCACTAGAAGCTTTGTTTTATTTAGTCTTCCAAAGGGAAAAAGGTAACAGGGAAGACTAACACTTGTGGCAAACACTATTAGTAAGGATGTAATCTTTCTCTTGGGCTGCAGAACTCTATCTCCTTAGGCTGAACTTTGAGAAGCTACAGAAAGACAGATATGCATATGCAGGTATATGCATATATGTATACACAAATATACTTAAGTGGAGGTGCACACGCTGTGCTAGAATACAAACAAATCAAAGGTCATATATAAAAAGGCTAAATATAACACAGGCCTAGAACCAGCTCTTGAGCGGAAGCTGGGGAAAGGAGGGGGCATGAGGAAGGAGTGTCATCTGGAGACTATGTACACAATGTGTGATGGGCAGGGAAGGAAGGCATCAGTGTAAACTCACTCACTCCACAATACTGGCCCACAGGAAAGCGTGATACATCTCAGGTACAAAAATAGACTCCTACCTTGCTTTTGTACAAACCAAGCTTGGTAGGCACCCAGGATGACTGTGGGTTTGCCTTGATGGGGGGACTACATTAGACTGCTGGTAAACCTTCCAACCCTAGGAACTCACCTGTTAACTGCTTCCTTCCCCTTGCAGGCTCTTGGGCCTTTTCCTACCCAACATCAGAGCCTGAGGCCTGCCTACACCACCCATTCTCACCGGGCTAAATGCATGGCTTCCTCACAAGCAAGGTTCTACAGTATCTGACCCCAAGGTGTATGAAGACTTCTGTAAATGTTTGGCACCTAAGAAACATGATGACTGTGGAATAATGCCATAAGTACACAGGGAGACCCAGTAACAAGACATGCAGGGAGAGGGCAAGGGGCAATGAGTTTCCCTAGCGTCTCAAAACCAGAACTTCGGCTTCCCATGCATTTTTAGGGGTGGGAAAATGGATGTGCAGAACTGACAATTTCACTGGCTCCTCAGCAGCAATTACATTCAAAATTGAAGGCGCGTTGAGCGCTCCACTATAACCTAATTACAAGTCTGGTCACTCCTCTGGAGGAGCTTGGTGCGGTGACAGCTGCAAAGGCCAAGTCCCAAATGAATCTGTGGCACCATGAATCCTTCTGAAGAAGCTCAGCAAAGTAATTTTTTCTTTTGAGCAGATGTACAGCACGTACAGCACATCCAGGGGAAGGCCATGTGAAAGGATGTTCTCCAGCGCAGTCAAATGATCCAATCTCACTGTTAAGCTCAGTCCTCTCTGAGTTTTTCCTGCTGGCCACCTTCACTATTCACAATTAGCCAAACAGCATCAGAATCAATCATCAATGGTGGGCAACCAGAAGGCCTGGAAAGAAAACATAAATTGACTTTAAAAAAGCTAAGCATTTTCTCACTGTGGAAAGTTCTTACACCCTCCCCCATAGCATCAAGGTACCCAACCCCAGCTTTGGAGGAGTTATGCACAGGTGCCCGCCCTCTGACCAACCCTGGCACCCCACCCCCCTGCAAAGTGAGCTGGTTCCATTTCTCTTTAGCATTCACTGTCTACCATGTACCACAGTGATTTAGTGTTGTAATAAGCATAAAAGTCCTGTTGAGTCTAGGTAAGCTCATCCACCAGATAACCTCAGACAGGCTCTCTCCTGCCTGATCTGAAAAAAACAAAACCCAAAAAACGAAACAAAAAACCCCAAAATAGACTGGATAGCTTTCCTGTACTTTTTCTGACATTATTTTGATTTTTTAAAAAAAGGAGATGTCTGGGGATGTAGTTCAGTGGTACAGCCCTTAACAACCAAGCATGAAGCCCCTGGATTTGATATCTAGCATTATTAAACAAACAAGTAAACAAAAATATAATTTGTAAAAGGGCAAGGGCGGGAGGTGTATGGCTCAGTGGTAAAGTGCCTGGTCTCAACCACAAGGGGGTGGGGTGTGGGGGTGGGGAAGGCAATGTGCTCTGGGTAAGGTTAGTAATAAAATGCTCATTCCCAAATACCCACATAGATTTAGAAGATCCTAAGAGGAAACCAGAGGGTAAAACACTGATCTTTTGTTCTGCTAGTATTATCTAGGAAGAGATAAGGGTATGGAGTTAATTCTAAGTGATGAGTCATTATCAACTGCAAGATTTCTGAGGAATTCAATATAAACCAAGAGGAATAGAAAACTGAAAAGATGGAGTCACAAAAGATGGGTTCTTAAGGAGCAAAATACCTGTCAAGTATTATCTAGGTAGTATGGCCTAAAACCAGAGGAAAACGTGGCCTGCAATTTCTTGGGAGCTCAGTGATGACCCTAGATCTTAGAATAATGAAAGTGAAAGACCAGTTCACATGATGAAAGTTGAAATGGAAAATCACAGTTGAGAAACAAACTTTGGTATTTATGCCTATGCAGAACAGCTTGTTGTGGTCACTCAGACATCCCACCCTTCAACCGGAGAACCCCTATGTGAAAGATTCCTCTCATTGTTAACATACCATGTTGGAACATGCGCTGGCAAATGTCATGAACTTAGGGTTGAACTGCAAACAGGTAATGGGGCCTGTGTGTTTACCATCCAATACTGCTACTTTTATACCACTCTCACCATTCCAAACGTGGATCTTGCCATCTTCTGAACCTAAATAAAATGATGAAAGAAAATGTAATAACTCAAAACACAATACAAAGACAACTGAGGGCTGGGTGTGGTGGCGCACACCTGTAATCCCAGCACTTGGGAGGCTGAGGTAGGATTGTTCCAAGTTTGAGACCAGCCTGGGCTACAAAGTGAGCTCAAGGCCAGCCTGAACTGCACAGTGAGACCCTGTCTCAAAAAGACAGAAAAATAAAATTAAAAAAAAAGACAACTGAGAAAGAGACATGAATTAAGTTCAGGAAAGATGCCAAACTTCAGGATCTAATCCTCAGCAGAAATTAAAAGGGAAGAGAGACCGCTCCTGGTTATTTGTTCATGGAAAGTCACTTCTCCTCTAACTTTACTTTCCTCATCCAAAAGAGGGGCTGAATACCATTAGTCTACAGTGTCTAGCCACTAACACAACTGAATGTAGAGCTACACTAGGAAGTTAGTAATACTAGTAAGGTAGTGCTTTTACAGCATAACACTAATGCTGGCCCAGGGAACACCAATACAGACACAAGTTTCAGTAATGGCAAGAGTGTTTAAAAATGTTATAAGCTAGGCATGGTGGTGCATGCCTATAATCCTAACACTTTGGGGGGGTGGGGGAGGAGACCACAAGTTCAAGCTCAGGCTGGGCAATTTAGCAAGACACTGTCTCAAATTTAAAAAAAAAGGGCTAGGGATGCAGCTCAGTGTGAAGGCCCAGGTAAATCCCCAGTACTACAAAACAGAACAAAACAAAACTATACATAGCTGGGAGTGATGGCACATACCCGTAATTCCAGCACTAGGAGGACTAGTGCAGGAAAGTCACAAATTTCCTTTTCTGTTGTCCCGGCACCACTTATTTGTTTGTGACCTTCAATAAAGGTAGCTGTTTTTCTTTCACCATCGGTTGTATACTTTGTTAATTCTTTGCTTGCTGTACACAAAACCTGGAATCTGTTGGGCCCACCACATGGTAACATTTGCCAAGGAGGTATCAGAGATATCTGTAACTCTTCTCTTGGGGAGCCTTTCTTCTTTTACAAGCCACTAAGGGTGCTCAGTGGATGTATGAGACAGATTCCGGAGACCAATGACTGATCTGATTGCTGTTTGGAGCTGACTAGGCAGCAGTGAAAGGCTTTGCCTTTGCAGGAACCAGGTGGACTTCCACACATTGGGTAGGTCTGTGTTTGTGTGCATCCCCTTTTGCTGTTGGTCCTTGCAGCATAGGGGTGACCCCCTGTAAGTAGCTGTCGTTTTTCACAACCCTACAGAAATGTGGCAAAGGCAAGCAGAAGCAAGGTGGCTGACTCACACATCCCCTTCGTCACTGGAGCTAGGATCTAGATGCTTTGGCCTAAATAGAACCCTCCAAGCCACTTTCTTCTATTTTACTTAGGACTGGGAGGCATGGGCCCTGTCCACCTAATGTTATTTTCTTTGGGGTGGTACCTGGACAATGTAGATTCAGGTGGCTACTGAGATAGCTTCCTCTAGAGATGTCTGTGGGGCCGTGGGTCCCAGTGAGTCATAGGCTCACTCTGATCGAGTGTGCCTTATGAATTACTGCACCCCTCCAGTTTCTGGATCTCTCATTTCCCCTGCCCCCAAGCTTTCTTCTGTAGCAGAATTCAAATTATTTGGCTTTTTGTTAATATAGGGAAACAGAACTGGAAAGTACAGTGTTTCCTCATCCTGGGAAAAAGACAGGAATTTGTGTGTTGTAAATTTTCCCACTCTGGAGTTACTTTTCTAATGTTACTCCTTTTCCCCTATTCTACTCAGTTTTGTTGTCTTAACTGTGGCCTCAAATTTATGTACTTGTGTAGAAAGATGTGTAGCCTATATTTGCCAACTGAATTTTCACCGTGCTTGACTTTTGAGGTTTTATCAACAGACACATATGGTTTATGGCTTGATCTAGTGAGATTAGTTTTTCTGGAGATGTTCTTATATTGCAGGGTAGTGAGATATCATCTGTGGAAGTGCTTGTTTCTTAGCCAAAGGCTGAGAGCCCTATCTATGGAAAACTTGGGGTTTGGGGGTTCTACTCAGTAAAGTATTTGTTTTGCCTCCCTAGACAAGATGTTAACTGAAAAGATATCCAGCCAGTAAGGAATGCCAGTTCTAGACTCTATGACCAGAAAATGTATTGTGTTTACAAGGGGATATCCAATAGGTTCAAAGAAAATGGCACCAGTGTTCACTTAAGGCTGGAGATGTTGAGCCTCCAAGATGTTCAGCTCTACTGGGGGATACCTGACATTGGAGCTAGACAGGATCCTGTAACTAGAAGCCCTTCCTGTAAGGTTCTCATGTAGGAACTGACCTAGGGAAAAGCTCTATCAGGTTTTTATGATCTAAAGGCGTGGGAATCCACAAGGACAGCCCTATAATATCCCCACCGAAGGGGTGGGGATTAACCCAGCTACCGGCCTGTGAGGATCCCACAGCTTCAGCCCTATGAGGTCACACTTTGGGGCTGAAATACTTAGGAACCACCAGGAGATGCCCTGTAACATCCCCAGTAATGGGTTGGGGATTAACCCAGGGATAGGCCTGTTAGATTTCCCACAGTGGTCTGAGACTGATTTAGAGGCGGCTCTGGGCCTCTAAAGTTTCCATGTGGGAAATGACCCAGAGAAAGGCTGTATAAGGTTTCTATGATCTGATGGCTCAGGATCCCACTAATGGGTTGAAAATCAACCCAGGGAAAGGCCTTTGAAGATTCCACAACGGAACTTCTCGTTTTATGCACAGACCCATCACAAGAATGACTCATGTACTTCTTTAGATTCCCTGCTTAGATGCTTCCTCATCTACTGGGATCCAAGGTCCTCCAGAAAGATCTCATATTCTTGCACAATAAAAAAATGACCTATGTATGTACTTGGGGAAAATGAGATGTGGCTACCCCTTGGCATCCTAAAGTATATAATGTCATATTTTAATTATTTATTTTATTTTAAGAAACACGAAAAACAGGGAGAAGTGCGTTATGTTCATTCATGCCTTTATGGCCCTCTACCAGAGCCTTGATCTTTGCCCTAGAACAAATCCCCCCCTCAGGAACTGATGCTGCTAAGGACTCCCTTTTGTCAGTTCTTGCATACTACCTCCTTACCAGCCTACTCAGTCAGTACCTGCAGGAGATAAAGCCCAGCCCATACCAGGTCTGGGTCTGCCTACAGTAGGGCTCTAGATTCAGGGAACTCAACCTGGAAGCCAGCTACCATTCTACCCTTTTGGGGAGTGGCAGTTGCCAATGGTCCCTTTCAGGTATAAATCCTTTTTTCAGTTGCAGATATTCAGGAATGTAGGGAAAAATGAAGTGTCTGGACTGCAGAAAGACTGTTTGAGGACCCATTTTCATAACATGACAATGGCCTCTGATCGGACTTGGCATGATGTGTAGTTCTTACTACACAGCAGGAGAAAGGAAATGGATTATAAGAGCTGCTCAGCAAGCTAATGATGACGTTTTCACAGCTTTACCTCTGATAATCAGTTAACTGTTGCATTATTTGGATCCCAAAAGGGGCTTGAGTGACATTTTAACATAGGGTGTGGAGAAAACAAATGAAAGTTATACATCAAGGCTATTTTAATGGGTATGTGACAAGGGATGCCCCAACCTGTGAACTATGATAAGCTCAGGTCTATCAGTCGAGGTTCTGATGAAAATCCAGCTGTTTGTTGGGCGTTGTGTAATCCTGTAATCCCAGCACTCGGGAGGCCGAGGCAGGAGGATCGCCGAGAGTTTGAGGCCAGCCTGGGCTACATAGTGAGTTCAAGACTGGCCTGAACTACATGGCAAGACCCTATCTCAAAAAACAAAACAAACCAAACAAACAAACAAGAAAATCCAGATGATTTTCAGCTCTGGTTTGAAGAAGCATTCCATAAAAACATTAATTAGACCTGGAATGTAGAGGTGGTCAGATAACCCTATTAGTTTATTAGACAATCAGCTCCAGACACTATAAGAAAGCTCCAGAAAATCCAACAGGCCCACAAGCAGAGATGTCAGTTGATCAATGTGGTTTATTTGGTCCTTTAATAACCATGATGAAGTAGAAGACAAACAGGAGCTGAATAAAGAAAAGAGGCAGCCTAAAGCCATGCTTGCCCTAATGGATAAGGCTCAAGTTCTCAACACTAGGGGAAACTACAATAACCCAAAGAGTGATACAAGCACTGGGGCAGTGGGAAAAGGAGTGCCCTCTAAAACCAGTAAACATTTGCTGAGCCTGAGCATGGGAGAAGACCCTTGGCATAGAAGACTGCCCTCATTCCCAGAGAGGGATGAGGTCATTCATCATCATGGCAGTCCCGATAGTGAATGATGGTGCCTGAGGTAGCCCACATGGTCCTACATAAGTGTATTCCCATCACCTTACAGGAGCCTTAGGTGACCTCAAAGTAACAGCAAAACAAATTATATACTTCTCTGATCCTGGGGTGACTTATTTGAATTCTAGTTTCTTATTTGGGTGAACTTCCATCCCATTCTAAAGTTGTTGTGGGTTTTGACAGCCTTCTTTACTCTCACTCTTTAGAAGATTTCCTTTTCCAACTTGCCTTTGTGGTGATACCAGAGCACTCCATATCAGTAACTGGAAGATATACTCTCTCTACTTGGGACCACCTTAACATTCAAATCTCTGGTAACCTAGGTCCTAGTTGCTAGACCCAGTCAGCTTGACTCCATGGGGCCCAATGTCTCTGCTGGGAGTGGATCCTCAAAGATGGTATAATGGCCCGGGGAGGGCTGTCAAGGTCACTCCAATAGTCATTCAGCAAAGGACCCTAGTCCATATCCTCACAGAAGATAGTATTACCTTAAGAAAATAGCTAGGTGGGAGATAAAGCCCATTATTGGTAAGTTTTTGGCTACAGGGTTACCAGTGCCATGCCAGTCCCTGTGTAATACACCCACTTTACAACAGTCAAGCCATCGGGAGAATATCACCTAGTATGAGCTCTCAAGACATGAGTGAGGCAAGGGTACCTGTTTGTATATTAACAGCAGTTCCATACACCCTTTCAGCACACATTCCAGGAGACACTGAGTAGTTCTCTGCCCTGCATCTCAAAGATGCCTTCTCTTCTATCCCTGTGGATCCTAACTCCCAAAACTTGTTTGCCTTGAAGTGGAATGGCCCTTACACAACCTTCTAATCACTCCTGCCATTAAAGTACAGGAAACAGTTGGATTCACCTTTCCAGGGCAAAACCCAAGCTGCCACAGACATAAGAAAATGAAGAAGTACACCTATGAAGCAGTGGGTAACCTCAAGTTTCTTTTTGGGGGTGGGGTAGGGTGGGGTGGGGTGGGGTTTGAGACAGGGTCTTACTATGTAGTTCAGGCTGGCCTCCAACTCATAGTGATTCTCCTGCCTGAGCCTCCTAAGTGAAGGGATTATAGGCTCATGTTTCTTTTCAGAAAATACCAAGCAACCTGCTGAACCAGATAAGCAAAGCTACTACTACACTTTGAGTTCCTTGCCCAAGTTGTATTATAACATGACCTCTTGTTCCCCCTGCCCCTCCATCATGGTGGATGTTTCAAAAACTGCCTCTAATGGAGCTAATGAACAGTGATTCCTTATACAAAACAAAACCTTAAAACTAATCACGTCTTTTTCCTATCTACAGTGATCTAAGAACTAGACAGATAAAGCCAGTGATGGCAAACCTATGGCATGCATGTCACATCGGGCTATATTACTGAAAGTTCTAAAAGGTTTGGCATTGTTGGACTAGGTGAACTTGCTCCAGTATTGCCATTCTTGAAGACCACACAGATTTGCTAGCATGGTGGCCAAATGACATCATGGGGGACCAGACTTCGTAACTGCCAAAACAGAGGGGTTATATTTGTTTCTGAAAGAACAATCAAGTTTTTATGCTAACCAGCCTAACACAGTAAATATACAGCACAGAAGTTGGCTGGCTGCACTTCTAAGATCTGTAAGGAACTATTAATGCTTCTCATCATCTTACTATTTAGATCTTACAAACTTAATCTCTTGGTCAAATATTTCGCTTCTTGTTTGAGAGCTGTTAAATTATTGGTAATTGATGGTCCAACCCCAAGATTGAAGTCTACTTTCATGGCTCATTAAATAAACCCTGAGAGGAAGAACTGAGGTCCCTCTAAACTCTTAGATCAGACAGGGCAAGAGTTTTTTGGTCCCTGCATAGGTAGGGCCAGCGCCCCTACTCAGCAGGAAGATGGCCCTCCCTCCCTCAGCAGCTCAAAAAAGATTTTTGGGAACCAGGTCTTTCCGGGTAATAGTACAGTAAAAGAATGCGAGCTGAGGAAATCATTCCCCTTTACCCATTCAGCTTGGGTAGTAATCCCACCTTACTCACTCAACCCCCTGGAGTGCAGGCAGCACCTCAGAAGCTTTCCACATAACCCCAGACCAAAGCACTTGCTGCCTTTTTTGTTCTTCTCTTGCTCCTGAGCCCCAAAGCCTGACTTGTCTGCATGGCATGCAGCACTCCTCCTCTGTCATTCCAGCACCATTTCTCTATTCGTGACCTTCAATAAACATAGCTGCTTTGTTTTACCACTGACTGTGTGCTTTTCTCCCCCTTTTAAAAATTTATTTATTTATTTATTTATTTGTTTGTTTGTTTGTTTGTTTGTCTTTTTGAGATAGGGTCTCGCTGTGCAGCTCAGGCAGGCCTTGAGCTCACTTTGTACCCAGGCTGGTCTTGAACTCTCAACGATCCTCCTCCCGAGTGCTGGGATTACAGGTGTGTGGCAAAGCCCAGCCTGACTGTGCTTTGCCAGATCCACCACATGGTAACAAAGCTGCTGGGTTTGATCCCCAGTACCAATGACAATGACAAACAACAATGCCTGCCCCCCAAAAACCTATTAAACAAATCATATGTTAGTTTGCTTAGAAAAATATATGCATGTTACCAAAGAAATAACCCTAAGGGAAATGAGGGGAGCTCACCAATCATAATAAACTGAGAGTCCGGAGTAAATGAAGCCTCTAGTGTGACAGCTTTGCTGTTGGCATAACCCTGAAACAGAACAGAGTAGTTCTCTTATTACAGAGCTACCAATAAAAATGACTGCCTGGAAACACCAAACTAGCACACACATCTCATTCCTTTCCATGAAACCCTCTTTGTCATACACATTGCAACCAAGATTCCAAACGTGGCTGCCAACCTGTACGACCCAATCTCTAACCCCAACTCCGTATTTAAGGGGAGCCCCTAACCCTGTTTAATGTTAGGAATTATTATACTTAGTAAGAAGTCAATATCTCAATTCAAAGGAAATAGTTCACATGTAGGGAGAAAACGCAAGCCCTTACTTTGATCAGTGAGCTAAGGATAACTGCTGGTCTCCACTAACGAGCTATCAATTCCTAAGCCCAGGAGGTATGAAGATGGAAACAACCATGTTCAAAGGCTGTCAGCTCACCCCAAATGTGTGCATCACCACTCCCTTGAATGCATCAATGAGACGGATGAAGCTGCCATTGGTGGAAATAAGTATGAGCTTGCCATCATTGCTGAACTTAAGTCCTGTCCATTCACAAGTCCGATCATACTGCATTTTAAAGGTTGCAAATGGCCCCTGCAAAAGATAAAAATAGCAAGCACCCCCCCAGGCCCAAGGCATATAAATAATTCTTTCTGTCAGAGTCAACTCCCATTCCATCCCTTTAGATTACTTTTTACTGGGTTTTAACACTTTTCTTTTTCTTCTTTTTCCAGTACTGGGAATCGAACTCACGACCTCGCGCTTGCCAGGTAGGTGCTGTGCTGCAGAGCTAAATCCCCAGCCTGATTACTTTTTACTGGAACTACAGGATGCTGCTGCCATCTGGTACCTACCAAATACTTCCTCTACCACAGAAAAGGCTCGAAACATCCACCTTAGCTGGGTGTGGTAGCCAACTCCCATAATTCCAATAACTGGGAGGTTGACGCAGGGGGATCAAGAGTTTAAGACCAAGATGGCCTACACTGCAAGTTCAGTACTAGCCTATACTACACAGTAAGACTCTGTCACAAACAAAAATGTCCATCTTATACTTAAAACTCCATAATGAGATACCCCAAAGACTCAAAGATTTACCTTGTCAAAAGAACGAAGGTCATAAAGCTTGACCATTTCAGAGTTGACACCAGCAGCAAAAATTAACCCTTCTGGATCAAAAGAACAAACCGGCTTGCCCTGTAGATGCATGAGACCCTAAGAGAAAACACAAAAAGTTAATGGATGACAGGCATAGTGGCACATGCCTGTAATCCCAGCACTCAGGAGGCTGAGGTAGGAGGATCACTGTGAGTTCGAGGGCAGCTTGAACTATATAGAGAGACCTTGTCTCAAAAAAAAAGCTAACAGATGGAGGATCTACCACTATATAATTTGTTTTTCCTGGAAAACAATATGAACAGATTAGTTACAGAATAAGGAAATAAAAATCTAAATGAAAGGAAGCTTTTAAAAGAGGTCATCGTATAACACATTCGTATAACGTATTTCTAATCAGAGGTCATATACAAACATATCTCATGAGGTTAAAAGCTATGTATCTAAGGCTCTTGGAACAGTGTTTTGTTTTGTTTTGTTTTTGTTTTTTGTTTTTAACACTAAGCCATAGAGTCTAAAACAATTTGCAGCTGATTGGGGTATTTGCTTTCCAAGTCGCAATGCATCAGGACAAGATTGTCTTTGAAGTTTAAGAAGATTCAGGATTCCTGGATGGAACCACTGCTTTTTCTCTTCCTTGAAAAGGAGAATTGATAATTACACCTACCATAAAAAATGCTCAAAAACCTTAACTATGAGGTACTATTACCTACCTGGCAGTTAGGAGACCGGAGATCCCAAAGTCGAATGGTTTTATCAAGAGATCCAGAAATGAAAGTATCATCCACGGGTGACATGGATAAGGCCACCACTCTGCAAAGCATCAAGATAAATGGGAGTTGAAACAAAATATGAGCAAAAATTGGAGGTGAACTGTAAGTCATTCTGAATACTTATATATAGCTGTTCTTCCAAAACTGCCATTCTAGGAAACACAGACAAGTATATATAGTATAATCTAAGACAACTAGTATAATGAAAAAAACCCTTAAAACCCCAGGATATAAATGTATGGTTCCAATGCAAATCTAATGCACATAGAAATACTATTTCATGCCTATTAGTATAATAAAAGAGTTGATAAACATGAGGATAGTGGAGAAATTGGAATTGCTGATAGAAATGTAAAGTGGTACAAATACTCTGGAAATCAGTTTTTCCAAAAGAGGGTTTTATGTATAACCCAGAAATTTCAATCCTAGAATTGAAAATATATGTCCATACAAAAAATGTACACATGTATCACAAGATCATTATTCACAATAGCCAGAATGGAAACAACCCAAATGTCTATCACCTAATAAGTGGCATACACATAAAATACAATGGAGTATTATTTGACAATAATGAGAATTAAACACCAAATCATGTAACAATATGGATAAGCCTTGCAAACATCATGTTTTAGGTGAAAGAGGCCAGACACAAAAGGCCATATATTATCTGAGTCCATTTATAGAAAATGTTGTTTTTGCCCAACTCTGAATATACAAAATAGGCCACTGATTTGTATATTTTAAAAGGGATATTTTATGGCATGTGAACTATATCTCAATAAACAAGCCCGGGATGCTCGCACATGCCTGCAATTTCAGTTGAGGCAGGATTGCCTGAAGTTCACAGCCAGCCTGGGCTACAAAGCAAGACCATGTCTCCAATAAAACCCAACCCAATCCAACCCAACCTCAAGATTTTTTTAACAGGATGGCAGTGGACTACACTAATGTTTCTCATCTGGAGTGGCATCAGTATTACTTTGAAAGGAAGTTAAAATTTAGATTGTTAGCTGGGTGTGGTGGCACATGCCTGTAATCCCAGAACTCAGGAGGCTAAGGCATGAGGATCACTGCAAGTTAGAGGCCAGTCTCAGCTACATAGTAAAGTTCAAGGCCACACTGAACTTTATAGTGAGACCCTGTCTCAAAAAACAAAACAAAAAACAAACAAAAACAAAACAAATTTAGATTGTCAAAATCTACTCCCAAGGTTTCCAATCCAGCATGGTTGGGCAGTTCTGGTAATCTGAGTTTCTTACAAGCTTCCAGAGGAAGGAGAGGTCACCGACCTGGGAACAACACTTAAGAGAACCACAGGCCTGTATATGCCAGCACTCAGGAGGCTGAAGCAGGAGGATCTCCTTGAATTCAAGGCCAGCATGGGCCACATAGTGAGTTCAAAGCTAGCCTGAACTGTCTCAAACAACTAAAAACACCCCCCACGCATACACACAATCAAAAGACAAAAAGAAATTTTAAACTATGCTAGGCCTAGTGGCATGCCTATAATCCCAGCACTTACAAAGCTGAGGCCAACTTGGGCTACAAAGTGAATTTAAGCCTAGCCTTAACTACATGGTTAAAGCTTATCTCAAAAAAAAAAAAAAAAGAATTTCAAACAATGCCAGGTCTGGTGGCATGTCTGTAATCACAGCTCTCAGGAGGCTGAGGCAGGATTACCTGGACTAGTGAATTCAAGACAGTTTGAAATTATAGAGACCCTGTCTCAAAAAACAAAACAAGAACTTCAAACAACTGTATCGTCTTTATAAGAAGTATATTCGTAAACATTAGTTTGAATACAATAAACTATCCACTTGTCATGAGCCATTCTGACCAGTACTATACAGTAACCAATCAGAAGTACAATTTTAACAGAGAGCCCAGTGCATCTCTTTCTAGGGCTCCATCCCACAGCATCCAGTCCTGGATTGCTGTAAATTTACAAAAGAAATCAGGAAGAAATACCCTTGAATAGTCAGCTGAAACTTGAAAAGTTGGAGAAAAAAAAGTGTGGGAAGTGGGTGGATAGAGAGAAGCAATCTAGTATGGCATAAAGAGATAAACTTTTTGATTTTAAAGGCAACGAAGATTTTTTTCTTTCACATCTTCATTAATATCTTCAAATGGAGGGTTGAGGGTGCAGCTTAGTTGTACAGCTCATGCCTAGCCTGAGTGAGGCCTGGGTTAAATCTCTAGCAATACACACACATACCCCAAAATGGTAAATTTTTATGTAAAGGCCTGTTGAAATAGGGGCCCATCTATACTGGAGGCTACAAAAACATAAATGATTCTTTTATTAAGGAATATCTAAGATTTAACATTTCTAAATACCATATATATGATACATGTTTTGGTTCTAGAGAGGGAAAGCAGGGCCTCTGTCATGCAAAGTATAGGCTGTCACTAAGCTATACTCTCCAGCCTCTTATTCATATTTAAAATGAGATTTCGGTTATCTCTAAAGTCCTACCCGTTCTCATTTCCAAAACCTCATTAAATTAAGAGTTGACTTTTTTTTTTCCGACTGGGTCTCACTATGTAATTCAGGCTGGCCTTGTAACACACTGTGTAACCCAGGCTGGCCTTAAACTTGTGGCAACCCTCCTCTCTGTCTCTGGAATGCTGGGATTTATAGATGTGTGCCACCACACCGAGTCCAAGAATTGACTATTTAAGGTATATCAGGAAGAAAAGATGAAGAAGTGTCAAACAGCAGTGAAGTGCCAGTTTCAATTTACTGATAAAACCTCTCCACTCACGTACTGCCTGTGTTACCTCAGGGATAAAGTAATTCTATAATACTTGGTTCTTACCTTTTGCTATGTCCAGGAAAGTACCTGATATATTTGTTGTCATGCAAGGACAGGTAGCGAATAGTATCTGTGGGAAGATAAATACTGATTACTAAAAAATGAATTTACTTTGCATTTTCATCTTGAAGATAAGGTTTAAGAACCAACAGTATCCCTTCACTCAATTAAAGTGTAAATTTACAACAGTGAGTAATTCCTCTTGCTAGCTTAAGAGTATGCACATAGATTTCATGTAATTTAAAAGAGCAAAGTTTAAAATCCATGTTTTGAGGGTAAACTCAATGGTATAGTGCTTACCTAGCTTGCATGAAGCCCTGGGTCCAATCCCCACACCACATATAAATATTAGAAAATTTAAAAAAAAAAAAAAAAATCACTGTTTTACTCCCAATCTTTGAGTTCTTCATAATAATGCAACTTGCCCTGCAAATATAGCCTGGCCAAAAGAAAAAAAAAGAAGACACTGGTCTCAGTACCCACAGAATGGCAAACTTAAAAACATGTGTCTGCTGAGGAAACAGGACCAAAGAAGTGAGCGGCCACACTAAGCTGAAGATCAGGCTAGACATTGGCGGTACATATTTGTCCAGGGCTCTCCAACAGTACTGACTCATCCCAATGTTCAACTGGAGACAAAACTTACATTGAAACTAAACAGAAAGAGAAGTAATGCCTCAAGACATGCTGAACTTAAACGCATGAAGTTCACCAAGTCATACCAATAAGAAGATTTTGATGATGTCAAAGAAAGGAATAATCATACAGATTTGTGCTTGAGAGAAGTAAGATGCACACTTTTTTTTTTGGTAACAAGAATTGAGCACACAACCTTGTGCCAGCCAGGCAAGCACTGTGCTGCTGAGCTAGATCCCCAGCCCAAGATGTATACTCTTAAAAACTGAATGATTCTATCTGAAAAAGGAAATAAAAAAGTGGTAGCAACAGGAGAATGAGGTGCCATAAACAACAGAACTGATGTGTCTCAAGCATATGCTAATTAAAAAATAAAAAACTAGAACTAAACCAGGTGTGGTGGTACATGTCTGTAATCCCAGCAGTCTGGGAGGTGGAAAAAGGAAGATTCCACGTTCAAGCTCATTTTGGGCAACTTAGTGAGAGTGTCTCAAAATAAATAAAAAGATGAGGCTGTACCTTAGTGGTAGAATGCTGAGCCAGCATGTGCAATGCCCTGGATTTGATCTCTAGCATGAAAGAAAGAGAGAGAGACAGGGAGGGAGGGAGGGAGGGAGAGAGGGAGAGAGAGAGGGAGAGAAGGGAGGGGGAGAGAAAGAGGAGGGGGAGAGAAAGGGAGAGGGAGGGAGAGGGAGAGAGAGGGAGAGAGAGAGAGGGAGAGAGAGAGACAGGGAGGGGAGAGAGAAAGGAAGAAAGGAAGAAAGGAAGGAAGGAAAGAAGGAAGAAAGGGAAGGGAGAAAGAGAAAGAGAGAAAGAAAAAGAGAAAGGGAGAGAAAGAGAAAGAACGAGAGAAAGAGAGAGAGAAAGGGAGAGAGAAAGAAAGAAAGAAAAAAAGAAAGAAAGAAAGAAAGAAAGAAAGAAAGAAAGAAAGAAAGAAAGAAAGAAAGACCGAGTGAGCGAGCGAGCCCAGTGTGGTGGTGCACTCCTGCAAGTCCAGCATTCTGACAGGCTGAGGTTTGAGAGACCTTGTCTTAAAATAAAAAATAAAAAATAAAAAAAGCTGGGGATATAGCTCAGTGAAGGCCCTGAGTTCAATCCCCAGTACTGCCAAAAAACAAAAACAAAATGAAAACCTAGAAAGACTATGCTCCTAAAAAGATGAGGAAAAGGAAAAAGCTGTTGTTGAGAAAAATGTAGTAGGAAGTGGTGTCAAAGTACAGAGGGCCAAAAAAAAGCATACAAAGCATACTGCAAAGACAAACAACAAGAATAAACAAGTTGAAAGTATCAAGTGGTTCACAAGGATGCTTTCTACTAAACATGCATTTAACCTAGGAGGAGAAGGATACCCTTTAAAAAAAAAAAAAAGGCATGCTTTTCATCTTTTTGTTCCTTCTTTTTGAGATAGGGTCGCATTATGTAGTTCAGGCTAGCCTTGAACTCACTCATGTAGCCCAGGCTGGCCTTGAACTCTCGAAATCTTTCTGCCTCAGCCTCCCAAGTGCTAGGATTATAAGTGTGAGCCACTATGCCTGGCCTTTTTATGCTTCATACCTGAATCTACATCATTTCCTTGAAAACATCTTTAAACTTCTCAAATGACAAGCATTCCTAGTTGCTCTAGTGCTAGTACTCACCTGCCCTAAGAAGAAAAAACTCCCTCCCATTACCTGGATTCCCAGAGATGAGCAGGGCTTCACCATCCTCACTGCCCCACTTGGTGGCTGGTGCTCTGTTCCTGGCAAGGCAGTGGCCTGTACAGTTATCTCCTATACCGGGTGGTATCATAGACCCTCAAACTGTACAAACTACTACCTCAGCCTGGAATCAGGCAAAACGAAACGCAGCGCTGGAGAAACTCTTCAGGATGTACTTGAGACAGGAAAGGCAACATCCCCACAGCAGAGCCCCAGCAGCAAAGCTGCAAGTGCCACACATTTGCCTCATCTTGCACCACATTTGGAGAATCCTCATTAATTACTCAGAAAAGCAACCCAACAGAAAAAATATACCAGTCATTTAGGTGATTACAAATACGTATTTCCTCAGAATCCTAATGTTTTACATTTGTATCCAAAAGCACCAATTGCATTGCTTACATAGGAAATTACTTCTGAAACAGACATGAAAAGTAGAAATTGTACACTTAAAAATCCAGTACTGTTAGAAAAGTCTCATTAAATAAAAAAATGACTTTTGCCCATTTGCTGAGACATAGCCAAAACAGCAGTCTAACCAATCCTTGTTGAATGACTTTAGAAAAACCTTACTATAAAAGCAAAACAGCCAGGTGTGGTGTTGTACACCTGTAATCCTAGCACTTGGGAGGCTGAGGCAGGATGAGTGTACCCTGGGCTACATAGGACTGTAAGCTCAAGGCTGGCCTGAAGCAGATGGAGACCCCGCCGTTTAAAAAAAAAAAAAAAAAAAAAGTGAAGCAATAAATCAGAGATGTAATTAAAAACAAGAAAGAAAAATTAATTCTGTGTGAAATGTTATAGCTCAATCACCAAGAAACGTGTGAAATATTATAGCTCAATCTGTCAATTTAGAAGGACTTCTAGGAGAAATGCAGACAAAAATAGGACCATTTATTACAAAAAGAACTTCACAAGTTTTAATTTCTAAAATCTTTACTTTTCGAAGATTAGCTGTATTTAAAATTAAAAAGGAAAGGGCTGGGGATTAACTGAGTGGCAGAGCACTTGCTTAGCATGCTCAAGGCCCAGCACTGGAGGAGGGGGACATAAAGTGTAAAAAGGAATATATTTAGATAAAAAAGTTATCTCTGGGTGGGGCATGGTGGTGCACACCTGCAATTCTAACTACTCAGGAAGCTCAGGTAGGAAGACTGCATATACAGCACAGGCAACTTAATGAGACCTTGTCTCAAAAAAAAAAGTCTGAGGATGTAGCTCAATGTGAGATTGTGGCACACCCAGCTCAATCCCTCATAATAAAAAGAAAAGAAAGTATCTTTGGAATGAAAGATGAGTAAGGTCACTGGACTGCCTTTTATGACACAGACTATAAAAGTTTGGACATATACCAGAAACTCCTCTAACTTCCCTTAAACTATCAAACATTTGTGAAAACTTCTCAAGTCCACATACTTTAAATGGGAAGGTCCAGTAGCTTACCTCTTGCTGTGCATAGTATTCTTTTGTTCTAAAAGTATTTTTTCAAGTTTTAAGAAGTACAAATCACAAGTATAATTAGCTGCTTCCTTTTCCAGTCCCCACTGTAAACTAGAGGTTTTTCCTATTCAGTTCTAAGTCCTTCAGAAGTGCTCCTGGCTTGCTTCCAGCATTCCTTTAGTCATAACAATGTAATTAGCATTGCTAACATCATAGGAAAACATTTAAAGCAACTATAACCAAAGCATAAGTAGTCCCAAAGATTCCACGAACTATTTAACAAAGGAAACTGTGACCTTCCTCAAATAAAAGGGTACTCACCATCTATTTTGTTAGAGCTGTAAACAACTGTGTTTGCCGCATGAGTGTATCTGATGAGGTCCACACCGTATTTCTTACTGTACAGGGTTCTCTTAGGTCTGATGAGCAAATAAGAGAAAATACCATCAAAATCCTCCATCACCAAAATCTAAGATCTATACATATAAAGAGTAGCATGTGAATGATGTAGTCAGGGCAAGGATACTTCTAATGCTGGAAGAAAATAGAATTTCTTCAAAGAGCAGGAATTAAGCAGATGTGATGCACACCTGTAATTCCAACACTTGGGAAGGCTGAGGTAGGGGGATTGCTGTAGCCCAGGCTGGGCAAACAGTGAGTTCAAGGCCAGCCTGAGCTACATAATGAGACTCCGTCTAAACAAAACAAAACGTGAAACACTACCACCCACAAAAAAGTCAAAGGGAGCAAAACAACAACTGAACAAGGCATACGGTGGCACATGCCTGTAGTCTGAGTTATTTGGGGCAGGGCTGAAGAAGGAAGGATGATTTCAGCCCAACAAAACAGCAAGGCCTCCTCTCTGAAAAACAAATCAAAACAAAAAAAACAACCTAGGGGTGGGGAAGCACACCTATAATTCTAGCACTCTGGAAAGCTAAGGCAGGAGGATCACAAGTTTGATCCCAGCCTGGGCAACATAGTGAGACTCTGTCTCAAGATAAAAGTAACAACTTGGGAGGCTGAGGCAGGAGGAGCACCATGAGTTTGAGGCCAGCATGGTCAACGGAAGTGGGTTCAATGGCAGCCTGCAGTACACAGTGAGTCCCTGTCTCCAAAATAAACAAGTGATAAAAAATAACAAAACTGCTGGGGATGCAGGTCAGTGTAAAGGCCCTACTTGGATTCCACTTCCAGTACTGCCAGCCAGCCAGCAAACAGCACCTGCACACTCACACACACCAAAAAATAATCCAACACAATACTGTCTAAAGAACAAAGAATACCTCTGAATACCTAAGGTTAAGGTTAGGAAGTAGAATTAAATATTGGAACTCAACTCAGGCTTTACCACAACATTCAAAAGTAATCTCTGAGAAAAAGAAAAGGGTATGGTACTTATTAGGGGAGAAAGGCACATGAAACAACACAAGTCATAAATTACTACAAATGAGGATATGAGAATACCTAAGCTCAAGAACTTTTCTTAAGCCACTTAGAAAGCTCTTTTTTAAAGAAGGAATGATTTATCAAACTGCAACCAGATACAAAACTAGTTGCCTTCCTAATATAACCTGCTCTTGCAGAACACATCCGCCTCCCTATGTACAGAGCCAAAACACTTTGCCTAGTCTTTTAGAAGGCACACTTGACTTTCCTTAGTAAAACTACTCTAAGGTTCTTTTCTTTTTACCTTATGTAAAAACCACTCATTTTCAAGCTATAGGTTACCCTCTATAGGACTTTGAAGACCAAACTAATGGATCTTGGCAAAATTTGTGACCAAGTACTTTGTCACACGCAAAGTTGCACAAAATCTTTTTAGAAACCCAAATGTCTCTATACTACTAGATTTGAATGCTACAACCATTCTGTATATGCACCAAGTCAGTCAACAAAGCTTTTACCATAATACTGTGCATGTAGGTATTAGGACTTCAAAATCCTGCACCAAACTGGGTGTGGTATATGCCTGTAATCCCAGTTCTCTGGGAGGCAGAGGCAGTAGGCTAAGAGTTCAAGACCAGCCTGGGCTACACAGTGAGTTCAAGGCCAGTATGGACTATACAGTGAGTCCCTGTCTCAAAAAACAAAATAAAACAAAACAATTACTGTACCAATGTTAATCAAGAGTTCCAGTTTATGAAAAAGTTCACCCTCTCAGTGTAAAATCCTTTTGGAATCTAGATGCTAAACAATCAAATGACTCAGGCAGTATTTAGGGTCAATCACTTGCACTTTCTATTTTTGTTAACGTCAGTGAGGCTGAGGATTTCCCTCTATAAAATCTATTCCAGTCAAGAGTTCTCACTACATTTGAACTGAATTTTCCACATGCTTACCCTTATACTTCACTCCTAAAAACATCAACGAAGTGTACCTGGTCCAGTCCACTTTACAGGCTTCCCTCACACAATTACAGCAATTTTAACCTGAGCGAGTATGTGTGTGACTGCTCTCTAAAGTCAGTCAACTTTACACCTATCTGTGGCAGAAGTTAATTCTAGTATTTCAGCCCACCTACAACAGAAAAGACAGGGCTGGGCATGTGGCGTAGTGACAGAGGGCTTGTCGGACATGCATGAGGGTCTACATTTGACCCTGGAAAGACAATTTCAAACAGTGTGGTGTATAATCCCAGTACACAGGAAGCTGAGATAGGAGGCCCACTGTGAGTTTTGAGGCTAGTTTGCAACAGAGAGGTCCTGTCTAATACAAAACAAAACAAAACAATGGTGAAAAAAATGTGGGTTCCACTTAGGTGTGGCCTATATACCTCAAATTTATTGAAACACACTGAGACTTGTCTCTCATAAAACAAACTTACTATATCATTTTATTTCCTACTTTGAAATCAGGGTCTTAATGTCTCATACCCATTTCAAGTGCCTTTTACCAAGTCCAGGCACAGTAAGTTTTTTTTGGAACTAGGAATGGAATTCAGGACCTCCTGCTTGCCAGGCAGGTGCTGTGCCACTGAGCTATATCCCCGGCTGCCACAATACTTTTTCAAATATTTTAGGTAGTGTCTTTCCTCAAACTATGGTTCTGGTGACCAGGTATGAATAAAGAAAATAATAGTAAAAAAAAAAAAAATCTCTTTTTGAGTAATCGGCATTATCTATTACAATCAATATCCTTTCAAGTTAAAGCACTACTCAATGGATGAACTCCATTGTAAAGTTTAATTGGATAGTAAACTGGAAAATACTATGCACAAAAAGTCTTCTTTTAGCCACCTTCAAGCTTCCAAATTCTAACAGTAATATCTACTAAAATATACTATGCCTTCCTAGGAAACTACCTTGACTGATCAGGCCTACAATGCATTTCTCAACATTAATAGTTAAAATTATAGGGACTAACGAGAAGTAATTTTGATCAATGCCATATACCTGGTCAGTCACAACACCAAACCAGAACTCAGGTCTTCTAACTACCAGGCCATTCCCATGCCACAGAGCACGAAGAAACAAGGTCATAACTGATCAGAGAAAATTCAAAAGAGCATATCCTAAAGTATTACAGCAATATTAAATTTCTCTAATTTGGGTAATTATGGTCTAGTTATGTAAGAGAATGTCTTTGTGCTTATGAAATCTATGTTGAAATATATAGGGAACCAAGCATGTGGCGCGTTTCCACGGCAGTAATCCCAGCATTTGGGAGGCTGAGGCAGGAAGATCACTTCGAATTCAAGGCCAGCCTAGATTACATAGTGAAACCTTGTCTTAAAAGAAAATAACATATAGGGGTTTCTTACTTCCAACTGAGGTGTCTAATGGCTCAGGAAAAAATGCATAGGGCTGGGGATTTAGCTCAGCGGCACAGCGCCAGCCTGGCGAGCCCAAGGTTGTGGTTTGATTCCGGGTACCAGAAAAAAAAAAAAAAAAGCATACATACATACATACATATTTACCTACAGACTGATAAAGCACATGGAGCAAAATTTAACCATTCTTCCACGTTTCTTTTGTATTTTTCCCCAAGGCAGTGCTCTGAAACATTCTTATACTTTCCTTGAGTCTGTAATAATCTAGAAATGCTACAGGACTAAATAAACTGCATTATTTCACAGAATTGGCATTTTACTTTTACAAAGCAAGATTTTGTGTTGCTGTCATCCTTCCCAAAGGTAGAAATTATGCTACATTTGGGCTGTGATGAAATACCACCACAACCTATCCTGTATTTCCCTTGAACTAGGATATGTATTTCCATCCTCACGTTGTGGCGGATGGTTTTAATCTGGGCACAATCACTAATCAAGCAAATCAGCTTCAAATTCCTCCCAGCTCCAGGAGTCCACAACTATGACTCCCTAACTCGAGCTTTTAATGTTACACCCGCTTCCAAATCAATTCAAGAGGCCAGACCTGGACATAAATCCATTCACTAAATGAACAGCATTAAATAGAAGTATATATCCAGAACAATTCCCTCCCCACCTTGAGCACCAGGGCGGGACACTTTCACACTCTGCAAGCAGATCCAGAGCCAGTTACATAATACTTTCTCATAGCCCCGGTGGAGAAAGAATAGGCGAGATTATAGCTCAGTCCAAATAGCACTACTTTAGATAAACAACTTCAAAAATGAAGACACAAGTTCCAAAAGAAAAGCAGTTGTTTAAAAACAGAAAAAGTGGGCGTAGTACCTCACACCTGTAATCCCAGCACTCATAAGGCTGAGGCAGGAGGTTCACAGTGAGTTCAATGCCAATTTGAATTACAGAGTTCAAGGACAGCCTTAACTACAAAGGGAGACCTTGTCTCAAAACAAAAAACAAAACCAAAAACTGTCAAGTGGAACAGCTGGAGACAGCAGAGGAAAAAAACCGAAGGATTCAGAAAATAAGACCTAGAACTAGGTAACAAAGTGAAACCTGACAAAATCAAACACTCCCCAGGCCTGCTTGGCAAAGGTGGTTGAGGGCAAGTAAAATATAACTTAAACCAATTTCTGCTCCAAAGGTCACCATGTAGCAAGCACTTAGGCAGGTACGCAAGCTTAAGGTCAGCACGACAAGGACCCCAGGCTCTGAAACTGGCACAGAGCTCTGCTTATAGGTATCGCAGAAAGATGCAGGGGTGGTGGTTCTCCAAATGATCTGGCACAACATAGAACTCTCGGGACTACACACAGAACTTTGGTAACTCCAGGTGAACCACGAACTGTTAACGCAAGTGCAGGAGAAAACACGAAATTGCTCTAGCACGCCTTCTTTGTTTTAACGGGAGCCCACGTTCGCTCGTGTGTGGCAAGAAGGAAAAGTTTCGGGGTGTAGTTTAGAAGTTCACTATCAACGTGGGCGTCGGGTCAGAAGGACGCAGGAGGAGCCGAGCGGAGGAGAGCGCAGGGC